GCGCACTCATGTTGGTCATTGAGAATTTCTGGGGTTCCTATGAGATGATGACTTGTAGGTGGTACTTGGATGCTTTGGTTGGATTAGGGGTGGTACTTGGTCCAAAAAGTTTGAGAACCACTGCCCTATACGAAAGAGCAATAAACACACATATATTTTCTTTAAAGCCATTTGCAGCTCATTCATAATTTATCAATGAGTTTAATCTCCAAGATCCAGCTATTGTAAATACAGGTTATTAATGCAGTATATATATACAATATACAAAATACATAAACTCTGCACAAGGCTTTTGATGCTGTAAATCAGAACTAAATATCTAATAAATCCCTAGTTAGGTCCTTTATCAACAAATCTCTAAGAGATTGCTTACCTATACAGGAGTCCCGATACTCCTCGAATCCCGCGCTGCAAACACACCGCCCAATGGGTACCAGCCACTCGCCCTCAGCACTGCAGTACATTTTAGGAGTGTCCCGCTCCTCTGCATGCTCCACACACTGCCCCCGCACCTCAACCAGCGAAGAGGAGTCTGCGCCCGTCACCACTTCGGTGAAAATGGCCAGGTTGCGTGCCATGGCCTGGCACTTTTTATAGTAGACCCTGACTGACACGATGGCAATGCAGGCCCCGATGTCCTGGAATGCAAGGTAGAAGCCCCTCTTGATCAGAGGTCCCACCCCACGGACCTCAGTATTGAGCTTCAGCCGTCTCACCCCCAGGTCCACTCCGGTGAAGCTCTCGTCTGCTGCAATGGTGTCAATCTTGACAAACTGGCTCTCCCAGATGTTGGTGCCCACATCCCGGTCTGTCTCATAGTAGTAGAGGTTGAAGGTCTCTTTGCAGGTGCCCAGCACCCCGGGCATGCTGTTGCAGTCACGCAGGGTGAACTTGATCTCGATGTAGATGCGGTGGGCGCCATCGCGCTGGATCCAATTGGTCCGCAGCCAGTTGTTCTGGTTGGGGCTCATGACATTGCAGACCTGGTACGTATGGATGGGGCTGAAGTATTCGTCCATTTCATTGATGGCATCCCACTAAGGTTATGGAGAAAAAAATAACAGCAATGTCACTGTAATTGTTGAATGATTGTTTATGGATTTTGCTGCTTTTTTCAAGGAGGTCTTAAAAAAATCTCATCACATTTTTAAACCAGAGCAAAACAAAAAAATTACTATGAAAGCTTTTATATAAAAGAAACCGATACACAAAGTAATACATGACAGTATACAAATATACCATTTGTCCACAGCTGTTATAGCTGTGTATAATAAATCAATCCATTTGAGATTAACATTCCACTTATATTGTGCTTTTAATTTTAAAGAGAATCCTGACTTAAAATGTGATATCTTCAAGCCATTCAGCAAAAGGTGCATGAGGAGATGATATGTTCTGTATTATACCACATGATTATATTGCATCTATTATGCCTAACACATAGCTGATATAGTTATTCCAAAGCACTCAAGCCTTTATGGTAGACGTTCACAAAGTAGGAGTTGAGGCAGTGTGAGATTCAGTAGAAATATTTCCCTGTAACAATCAAATCTGGAGCTGCTTTTACTTGAAAATAAGGAGAACAGCGGGCGTGAAACTGAGGCCTGATTCATGACTCAGAGTTCCCGAGTACTTCTGGCCATCAGAGTTCCCAAGGCTTTATTCATAATTGGGCTATTCGTGGTGCTCAGAATAAACTCCATTTCAGGCTTTCTCTGTATACTCTACTTCAGCCTCCTCTAGGTTAACTGGCTCAGAAATTGAGTCAGTCCTTTGCAAGAAAAATCCCGGTGGGCTACCAGGAAGCTGCACAAGCAAAAACATTCATTCAGAATGCAAGTTGAGTTCTAAGATCCTAGGAGTCACTAGTTCAAACGTGAGTCATGCCTCAAGCTAGCTCTGTCTGGGACTCCCTGAAGCAGAAGTGGCTGGGCACCTAACAGGATAACAAGCATTTGGACAGGGTTCACTTGACTGTCTGGCAAGCAGCAGCTCCTGGGACTTTGCAGGTACCTGAAGTCTTACTTTGACATCAGTGAGAGACATACTATGCTTCCAGTTAATCCTTCTGTTAATGAACTTGTAAAGTGTCAAATGACAAATGGTTTTGCATCCAGGCACATTGGTGGCTGAGTCATTCTCTTCCAAGCAGTGGAATTTGCTCCTGCAGGGCTTTAGAGTCTTAAAACAGTGAGTCCATATTAGGTATATAAAGCACTACAAGAATAATTACTGATTCTAAATGTATATATACTGTATATTCTAAGAGGATTCTACGTTCTTTGTAGGATTAAGTAAATCCCTTCTTATCTGTAAAAATCTTTGGCATTCTTTAAGAAAACAAGGACTAAGTAAAGGTTCTGTATTCTGTATTTCTTTATCCCTGTATGTACCATGCACAGATACACCCTGCTTATCTGTATCTTCGAGCACTGCAGGCACATCTGTATATGAAAAACTGACACAAGTAGCAGTCAGACTTCCTACACTAGGAACACTAGCTATCACATCTATTTTTCCCCTTCTTTGAGCTTAGCAATATGCAGCACACACAGCTTATTATATTTCAAGGAGAACACATGGTACATTGCATGACTGGCCTGATTTGCATCCCCCCAGCTGAGGGCTGAGCCAAATACAAAAGGAAGAGCAGGTCCACATGCAAGTAGACAGGCATTGCAGAAAGATTTCTAAAGTAAAAGTTATACATTTTAGCAGTGGGACACAATGAGAGCTCCTGTTATTGGTGAAGATCTAACACAGGCAGTTGCTAAGCAGTCTCAGCTAAAGGCAATTAACTCATGTACCTCACATTCTCTCTTCAATTAATAAAATAAAACCAAAAAATGAAAAAAAAAAAACTTGTTGGAGGAGAGATGCACTTTGAAAGACCTCACTCTGCCGTAGTCAGCGATCCCCCTGAGAGTGGGTCTCACCGGAGCAACCCAGCAGCCTGCCTTTCATCTCTGTGAGCTGGGAGTCAGACTGACACAGACTGCAGACTGATTAAAACACTACAAAAGGGAAATGGAAAGGCGAGGGAGAGAGAGAGTCAAGGCTAAACACAGCAAGCCTCAGAAGGATTTTTTTGGTGGGGTGGTACTTTATGACTTAATTAAATAGGAGAAAGCAGAAAAAAAGGCCCACTGGGTAATAGAGATGTCTCACTTTCCCTGGCAGCAAGAAAATAAATGCCAAAAATTGATGGTGGCAAAGCACAGGGAGGGTGATGATGAACTGACAGCTCCCCCTGCAGTGACACACCAGCGTACATAATCATTACAGTGCACCTGTTACACTGTCACCAAATTACCCTGCTTCTGTTGCTCCATATATCTTAAGCACCCTGTCTCTTTATCCTCAGAAACAGACTTTATGAATAGGCCTTCACACAGATTTATCACCTCGCTCCAGTCAACAGTTGTTGCATTCTCTGTTCGAGGGACTAAGTTAAGTGTTTAACCTTCCTCACTGTTCCATTAATTCCAAGCAGTGTGTCATCACAAGGCAACGAAATGATTGCTTTGGACAGGTGCATTTTGATATAAATTTGAAAACAGTCTAAAAATGTCCTTATTAAGTTCTAATAAACCATCCTTTATGTTTTAAAAAGGAAAAGAGAAAATGCATTTTTCAGATGTTTTCACTTATTTTAAGTACTGTATAATAGTAAAGTGCTGAAATCTGAAATAGGAGTCTGCTGCCTATTTTATAGGTGGCGTTTTTAGATTTTATTTGGGGTAAGGGCATTTACTCAATTCTTACAGCTACTGTACTGTAGTAAAATTGCACAATGTTAGTCCTTATGTACTTCAGGATCCACACCTGGACTCATAATGCCGACTAGTTTCATTTATATGATTGGGGACAAGATATTGAGTATCTTATTATTCTGTTAGTATTAGAACATTTGCGTAGAATTAATCTTTATTTTTAGATTTTATTTTTTCTGTTTCCAAAGAATGCCATTTAACTGACCTCTTAAACTAAATATTGTTAAAACTATGTACAGGTATTTATTCTAAGCACATAAAGGTAACATTTTTATTAATCTATCAACTTATATGTATCATATTTTATTTTAAAACATTATTTTGTGTAGAAAACATAAAATCATAGTGTAAGAGACTGGAATGGTGATTATTTAAACCTCAATCTGTTTTTTTGGTGACATGGCACATATCCAAATTATTTGACTCATTGATGTTCTAAAGTGTTTTGTAAGAAGATCACACATTTTATTTAAAAAAGTCTCATAACAATTAATTAACATAATTAACCTAACTAGTGAATAGTCCTGTTGAATGTACTTTACACTGAAAAAACAATTATATTAATAATAATAATTAAGAATTTCTACCTTTCTGGACACTCCACTCAAAGTGCCTTACAGGTAATGGGGATCCCCTCCACCTCCTACAATGTGCAGCCCCAACTGGATGATGAGACGGCAGCCAAAGTGCGCTAGAACGCTCACCGCACATCAGTTATCAGTGGGGAGAACAGAGTAATGAAGCTAGTTCATAGGTGGGGATTATTGGGAGGCCATGCTTGGTAAGGGCCAATGGGAAATTTGGTCAGGACACCGAAGTTACACCCTTACTCTTTTCAAGAAACACCCTGGGATTTTTAATGACCACAGAGAGTCAGGACCTTGGTTTTACATCTCACCACGTTTTACAGTATAGTATCCCTGTCACTATACTGGGGTATTAGGACCCACATAAACCGCAGTGTGAGTGCCCCCTGCTGGCCCCTCTAACACCTCTTCCAGCAGCAACCTTAGTTTTTCCCAGGAGGTCTCCTATCCAGGTACTGACCAGGCTCACACCTGCTTAGGTTCAGTGGGATGCCAGTTGGGAGTTGCAGAGTGATATGGCTGCTGGCTTTGGCATATTCACATGTTCTTCTTTTTAATTGTGTTGTTTCTTATGCAGCTGATAAACTCAGAGATGTATCAAAATCTTTGACAACAGGAGTGCTAAAGTATTTCTACCGCTGGTCAAACTGACACATCCTGCAGTGTTTGTTTTGGTGAAAGAAATACTGTACATACAGTAAGTACCTAGAGGCTTCAGGACTGAGGTCTGAGATTCGGCCTAAATTCACTACCTTCTATCAGATCTCTTTTGTTCCAGTTACTGTAGGCAACGTCTTGATCGATCCTATAGTCAATTCATGTTGTAAATCTTTTTGTACCTTGTTTTGTTTATTGCATTTGCAACAGATTTATTTTTGTTCATACCAATACATTAAGTATTCTTGCAATGTGAGTTATTTATTGTTTATTGGTTGTTTTTTAATGTAGGTCGTCTTGCAAGCTATTCCTGCTGGTATATCTGAGTATATTGGAACACCATGCATATTTGTTAGGGAGAAACTAAGCCATCTCTTCCAGCTGTGTGGTGCTGCTGTTGGTTACAGAAGGTGGAATTGTGGATCAGAGTGTATGCCTATTGGTCCTCACTTTGAGGGCATGCCCAGCATATTCAGATAACCACATTTAAGGAAAAGAGACACTGCCCTAAAAAGGTGATTCAGTTTCTACAAGTCTAGAACGTTTCCGTCAGATTCTATGATGTTCAGCAAAATAATTGTACATTATGTAGTTACACTACATGAAATGTGTATAGTGTTGCTTAGAGAGACCCAAATCAATTAACACTGTACAGTATTTATTAAGAAACACAACTGAAAAGACAAAGGTCTTTAGTGTATAATGTGTTCAGGGAAACTGTGCTGGTGACAGTCTAAATGGTTTTAAGGTTGCAAAGTAGCCACGTTAAAGTGCTTCTCTGGATATATGGTAGGGAAGCAGCTCATCCCATTTTCTTTACTGTTAAGCTTCTCTCTGAATGGGTGTTAAAAGGATCAAAAGATCGTTAAGACTTTTCTCCAGTCTCCAAACACCTAAGCCAGGTGATTACAATACAAAAAAGATTAGGAAGGCAACCTCAAAGCCATGGAGATCATTCTGTGGCAAACTGTGTACAACATCCAAAGTATTATTACCTTTGAAACAAGTTACATCTGGGCC